AGGGGGGTTTGATGAATTTAAGGAACGAATGATTGGGTTGTGGTAAACAATTCGTTGTTGACATAAAAATTGGTCGGGTTCCATCTCGTTTCCCTTCTGGTTCTTGTAGCAATCGGTTCCTCCGGTTCTGTATCCTGAATTGGGGTTTCCGGAGTTCCTCTGTGTCCGGTTCGATTTCCAGAACTTTCGTGCTTTCCTTGTTATTAAGTTCGAGATGATCTTCATCATTGTTAACTTCGAGGGGATACAGGACATTTATTGGACGATTGAGGAGTTTCCCAGTGAGAGTTTCTACTTGAACATTCCTGACTTGACCTTTATCAATTTTGACATCATTGATTCTTAATAATTTCCACATTCCCCTTGGGATGCCCGATTCATTTAGGAGTACAATCTCTCCCTTCCTTGGAGTTCTTTTTTGTGCTCCTTTGGGTGAGATAATTTCCCCTTGTGTGCGTTCTCTGAGGCTTGTTAAATATTCGGTTCTCCAGATTTCCCAAAAAATATCGAGAGTTTTAAGAGTGCTCCTCCAGTATTTGATGAGCTTTTCTCTGGTATCTAATCTGTGAGGGATAAACTCTTCCTGTGTATCATCATTCTTAATCATGGGTAGATGAAGCGAAGCGTTGGGTAAAATAAAATCAATGGGACATATAATAACGCAATCGTCAAAGTTGGCATAAGTTAGTGGCCGGGTATTAAGTATGCCCTCAATTTCTGCAATTAGCGTCACCAATTCCTTTTCCGCTAGGTAATTTCTACCAATGGCTCCTTTTAATGCATTTTTCGTTAACCCAATTAGTCTCTCATAAATTCCTCCTTGCCAAGGAGCCTTCGGTACAATATTTTTCCAGGTCATTCCTCCTTTCGCTAAAAAGTTGGAGACAGCGACTTGCGTTATAATTGTCTTGAACGCCTGGAATTGAGTGGCAATGTCGCTTAGAATCAATTCGGGATACCCTTGTCTTGCAACGAATCTCCGGATAGCATGTAAGAAGGTTTCTGCAGATTGATCTTCTGCCAGTTCGAGATGCATGGCCCTTGTTGTAAAGCATGTGAATAATATTATCCACCTTTTTGTTGGCATATTACCTTTGATTGAGAGAGGCCCAAAATAATCCACGCCGACATATGAGAAGGCTCTAGATTGGTTTACACGCATTTCCGGAAGACTTGCCATCGGTGGTAATTTGAACGATCTGGAGTTCCAACGTTTAAGATTCGACATTTGTTTATCATTCGTTTAACTTCAGTTCTGCCTTTGGGAAACCAGAACCTACTCCTCAATTCTGAAAGTGTGTGAGTGATGCCTGCATGGCATAGATTTTCATGTTGTTGTAATATAATGAGTTCCGTTATTGGATTGTGTCGAGGGAGATAAATAGGATATTTGCTAGTTTCAGGCAACTTCGAATTCTCCAATCGGCTAGCAGATCTCCATAGTTTATCATCTTCAGTGTAGAATAAATTCCACTTGTTTATTTCGTCGTCATTGACTCCTTCAGACTGCGCTTGTCTAATTAACAACCATTCGATTAGTAATAACAGATTGTTCCAATTTTCACACGTTTGCTGTTCTACTAGTTTTAATTGCTGTTGAAACTCTTGTTGTCGAATATCGAATAAGTATTGAAATTTCGTATTTTCGGGATCACTATCGTCTTCTTGTTGTATTTCCATCATTAATAGCTTACCCTTTGATGAAGCAAGCGTCAAATTCCTGTTGCAATGGGTTAATACTTCATCATGAGGCAAATAATGTATAATACCTTCTTGGTCTATATTTGTTGTTACTTTCTCAATAATGTTAGATTGTAGTTGCTCTTTGATTATCTCTTCATAACGTTCGAGCAAAGATAGATTGGTTTGAAGTCGCTTAATTTGCGTCCTTAATCGTCCATAGCAAAGACCATAATTATCTTGTAAGTTAATCTTTGAATCCTTCCATGGCCAGGAAACTTGATACCTGTTATTTTCTTTAGTAATACAATTCTTAAATTGTTCTAATGCCTTCTCGTCATCGTGTTCATTTGGTTGCTCTTGGATTCCTATTACTTCCAATTTCCAAAACTAATCAATATCTTGATTTGTAATAACAGTAGTAACGTTAATAGAATTAATATTAAAACTATCAGATTTACAAGACATGTTAGTATAACCACAACCTGTTATTATAGGTCCTACTTTAGTTTGAAGTAAATAAAATCCTGATGACATACGGTGGACTTTGTACGGTTGCATAAATTCGAAGAAATGA